CCCCCCCCCCCCTCTCCGATCCTCCAGCGCTGGCTGGCTGGCGGAACGGACGGGGGAGGGGGCGGCCACAGCTGGCTCTGCCTCCGGATAGGCAGAGCCAGCTGTCAATCCCGCAGCTGGGTGGATCTCGACAGCAATGCTTTAGCTCGCAGTATACTGAGCTTTGGGTCACGGGAGAACGCTAGTTTGTGTTCTCCTGTGACCCTTAGGAGAACTATGGGGAAAAGCCCTGATCCCATAGTTCTCCTTTTAATATTTAGTATTTTGTACGTTTTCAATATAGATCAATTTTTGTGTGCCCATGGGTTGTAACTTTATATATGTTTGTTGTCTAAGTGAGTGTGTTCTCTTTCAGTTGAAGCGGGGTGGCATCTTAGGAAGATGGACTGGTGTTATGAAGCTGGAGATCCCCTAAGGGAAGAGGTATTAACTTAAAATGTGTCCTATTCTGTACACAACAAAATCTACAGGATCCAACACACATCTGGGTGTATCAAATGCCTGGATCCCCCCTCTGTGCTCTGTGGTTCCATTTTCTGACATCACTACTGTGCTAGCGGATGGAACCGTAGCACACCGTGGAATACAGCGCAAAACGGAACACCAGGCATATGAAGTGTATCAAATGCAGACGTTTTTTTCAGCCGTCGGAGCGAAGATTGGGCATTTGGACGGTGGCACATGCAAGTAATAGGATTTTGATCTTACCATAAAATCCTTTTTTCGAAGTCCAATGAAGGACACAGCTCTGAAAAATTCTTAGACGTAGGGTTATGCTGTTACCTCTAGGAGAAATGACACAACCCCTTGCATCTTCCAGCTGTGTCCCTCAATGGACTCCGAGAAAAGGATTTTACGGTAAGAACAAAATCCTGTTTTCTCTGTTGTCCATTGAGGGGCACAGCTCTGAAGAATTCTGAGATGTAGGGATGTTTAAAAGCAGTCCAAACTGAGGGGGGGACATGACAGCTAAATCACTAAATAACCTTTCAAAATAACCTTGTGCCTATTAAGAACCAAATAGACAAAGCAGACACGTTGGAAACCCTTCTAGGCGAGGTAATGGCCACGAGAAAAGCAACTTTTTGGATAACAAAGACAAATGTCTCATATAGGTTCAAAAGGAGGTTTTGTAAATAGATGAAACCAAGTTTAAGGTCCATGGAGGAAAAGGAGACCTAACAAGGGGAGCTACATGAGTAACTCTCTAATTAGAAGTAAGAGGATGTTGAAAAAGGACCAACAAGGCAGATGTCTGACCCTTTATAGTACTTAGAGCTAAACATTGATCTACCCCAAGTTGAAGGAAAGACAAAATTCACAATATAGAAGAGCAAGTGTGGAAAACTCCAAGAACTCACACCAACAAAAATAAACCTTTCCACGTATATTAAAAAAGATCTAACATGTAGAAGACCTACAAGCCTCGAGCATAGTCAGAATAACAGAATCTGAAAATCCTTTGTCTTTCAACACTTGGGTTTCAACAGCCAGGCCGTTGGAGCCCAATCTTTTACCCTGCTTTTTGGTCGCTGGCTTTAAGATAACAGATCTGTTCAATCTGTAAGTAGCCAGGGATCGCCTGCCAACATATGAACCAAATCGGCATACCACACCCAGTGAAGCCAATCTGGAGCGATGAGAATAACTGGAATTCCTTTATGTTCTGAGCTGCAGAGCAGTCGAGGTAACAGAGCAGGAAAAACATTCCTTAGTGTGTACTGATCTACTACTGATCAAGCTACTAAGGCATCCACCATATCTACCGTTGGATCCCTCTGTCTGTACACATCTGTCCACCTTCTTTTTGTGATGAAATGCCAAAAGATCCACATCAAAGTTCCCCAGCTGTGACAAAGTTGTTGAAACACCTCTGAATGGAGAGACCATAAACCAGATCCAGATGTTGTCTGCTGAGAAAGTCCACCTGCCACCTGAAGTTCCACCCAGTCCAAGATCGAATGTACTTCCATTGCTGTCGACACACTCCTGTTGATTGCTGTATGCCATAGCATTGACTGAATCCAAATCGGACACCCAGATAGATTGGTCTACTGAAACAACCTCTGACGAATTGCCCTCAAGTCCAGCATATAAATCTGAAACTTTGGTTGCTCTGGAGACCAGCAACTCTGCACAGACATCTGATCCAGGAGACTGCCCCATCCCACAAGACTGGCGTCTGTCGTGACAATCTTCCTAGACATAGGAAGAAAACGACTTTCCTACTGTTAGCGTAGGAGACAACCAACCACCACGATAGAGACATCTTGGCCAGGGAACTCAATTTTGTCATCTTGTCCAGCGATGGAGGAGACTTGTCCCATGCTGTAAGAATGTTCCTCTGTAAAGTCCTGTAATGGATCTGAGGCAAAGGTACCACTTCAAATGTTGACACCATCAATCCCAGAATTCTCATGCAGGTTATGAGAGGAACAGTTTGGTTGCTTCAATCACGCAACATCAATGTTTTTTTTAAGGAACACTTTTGCTTGAAGGGTATTCAACAGAAGACCAATACTCCAAGCGATGTGATGGAACTAGGAACGACTTCTTGATCAGAATTTACCCGAAGTCCTCTAAATGTCCACAGCACCCTCTAGACCTTGAGCTCCATAGTAGGAAGAGACTGTTCTTTAAGTGAAAGGTCATCTGAGTATCCAATAATTGGAATCCCAGAACATTTTTAAAAGCCCAATACGACGGGAGGAGTCACAATTAGATAATAAAGGTCGCCTATCACAAAACGAAGGAAACGTTGATGAGCTGGAAATACAGGAATGTGTAGATACACATCCTTTGTCTATGGAAACTACAAAAATCTCCCTGTCTAAGAGCGGCGACAATATTCTGAATGGATTCCAACCGGAATCTGTGAAATATGTACAAACGCATTGAGTGCTTTAATTTCAGAATCGAACGAAGTCTTTTGTTGGGGTGGGAACCGTAGGCAGGTTTGAATAAAAACCTTGAAAACATTCTGCCAAAGGAACGGGAATAATAACGCTCTGCCAAAGGAACGGGAATAATAACGCCCGAATCCAATAGCCCTTGAACTGCCCTTGACATGGAAAGCCAGAACACAAAGAACCGAGGAGGTGAAGGAAGCTAAAAATATATTCTGAAATTGGAGCCTCCCACGCACATTCTGTCAGGTGTCCCCCACCAGTTCTAGAAAAGGTGGGAGCAGACCTTCATGCTGAAGCTGACTTTTTTTAATTGCCTTGTCTGAAGGAAAATAGGATAAAGAGGAAAAAACCTTGCAGACGCACTCATGTTTTCGTGAACCTAGACTAGACATCGCAGTAGTAGAAATAACAGCAGAATCCATTTGGCATTCAGAAAATATATAATGTTGGGGGGTTTTAAGTAATTTTCAGGCCTAAAATGTGGAATATAACATGGGTACAAAAAATGAAAAAAAGGCCTCAGTCATGAAGGGGTTAAGGAGGAATGCATAGCCTCAGTTAAGAAGGCAACCATTAATTTCTGATGTTGAGTGAATCTGTTATAGCCCAGTTACTGCATTTGTGATATGGAATATTTATGACAAGTATACATTAAGAGTATTGTATTCATGAGCTGAATCTATGTGCTATGTTCCCTAATCAAGAAGGGAAAGAGTGCGTGCCCCAGGCACCTAGATGTCACTAATGTCTGGCCACTGTATCACTTTCACAAGTGATACCGCTTCTTACTGAGTGAAAACTACATCAGTATCCAGGGAAATGAAGGGGGAGGGAAACGAGCAGTTGTTTCCCAGTAAGGCAGAGCAGAAGAAGAGGAGAGCTCCCCCATGTGACCAACCTATGAATTGGAATGCATAAGTGGAATAAGCACAGGTCACCATAGCAACACCTCAAAGGCCTTTTAATGTACAGGCCACTTGTGACTGGAAAAAGCAGAAACATCAGTGACACCAAGTTTTGGAATAAAACCAGTAGTAAGACAGAGTAGGAAAGGGGGAAAAAAATCACGTTCACAGAGTACCCTGCTAATAACAGCCTGTTCTGACAATTCTGTCTCGCATAGATTCAGACACAATCCTACTTATGGCCCCGATTGGTGTGAAGAAAAAATTTGAAGTACTGCAACCACATGCTGCAGACAGCAGACTATTTGAAAAATAGCTGTGTAATCATAGAAAACAGGATATTGCTGTTTTCCCCAATAAGAGACATGAGTAGAAACCATTCCATCCACTTTTCACCATCCACTGCTCTGAGGAAACAAAAGAAAATGGATTGCGCATGCTCACACATGCGCACTAGAGAAAAACAAGATAAAAACAAGTCCATCTTCAAATGGAAGTCCCAGCCTCTTAAAGAGATGGCAGAAAATTTACATAAAATCAAACATCACATAAAAGCATTTAGCCAAATAGAAGTCTAAAAACACTTAACCAAAGTAAAATAAAAAGGAGGGAAAACACCCAACCTTATAAACCTTGGATAAATAAATTTTTTACTCATGACTCCACGGCCCTGTTGCCGACATAACAGGAAGCCCCAGGTAAATACTGGCCTGACCGTTAAATTATGAAAACAGGAACAGAGGACCACCGGAGGACGAAGCATAAGTACTGAGACCTAAAATGACCTACTTCATGACAACTAGAGAAACTTCCAGGATTTAACTTATCCGGCAGGAATCTCTGTTTTGTTGGCTAGCTAGAGAGACTTCCAGGATTTACTAATATCCGGTATAAATCAACTAGCCGCTCTTGGTAGTAAACCTTCAATGAAGAAACAAAATAAACTAACATAATAAAGCAGAAGAGAAGGAAACATCCATTCTCCTGAGGACATGAAGTGAAACTGGCAGGTGTGAGGGGTTAGGTCCTTAAAGTGACAGGCTTTTTATTTATTTTTTTGCCTGGTATCCATTTCTCCTGCAGGCGGCAGAAGCATATAACCCTATGTCTCAGAATTCTTCAGAGTTGTGTCCCTCAATGGATGATTGAGAAATATTTTTTTTTCTCTACAGGCTAGCCGATTTGAAAAAAAATGAAAATGAACTCCGAGTCGCTTTACAGCATTCCTACCTATGTATGGTTGTGAATTTGCATTTTAAGATTTTATAAGTTAAATGCTATATCATTATAATCAGTGCATCTGAAATGGTTTATTTACAGAGATATTAGCACACCTGATTGTGAAGAGTCAGTTGCAGATATATACATAAAAATAAAAACATCTTAATAGATACGTGCAGGAATTTGGGTGTGATAATCCAAGATTAAGACTGAGGATAAGATCACTTCAAATTTTTGTGTGGAGCAGTGTGTACTATATGTTGTCTTCCTGTGCTTGGTATAAGATGGAGGGTTTATGGTTCCCTCACTCGGTTTTTTGTCATAGAATGGTCACCTCTTCCTTGGTCATGGCCCCAAAATCTTTCCATGGAGAAGGGATTAAAACATCATTCTTGTTTGACTAATGCTGGTTATAGACAGCTCAAATTTTGGCCAATTCCTGCATAGACTTGAGGAAGGTCAAATAGACTGTAAAAATGACAAATAAGCTCTTTATTTGTGTTTTGAATTTCCTTTTGTTGACTGTTGGTGTTTTATTTAACCTTCATTGTCTTACAAGTCTCTACATACACATATATTTTATATTTCTAGGACTCCTCACTGAAAGATCTAAATATACGATCTGGAGACACATTTGTCATAACGGAGGGAAGACTTCCACCCAAGGTAGGTATTTACTGAATTGTCCGTATTTGGCATTGCCCAAGGCATTTATTTCCCTTGATTATCAGTTGCCATTTTAAAATATTTTTTAATATAAAAATGACATTTGTATTTATATCTCATGTCATTCTTATAGGGATTTCTGAAGTTACCCCTTTGGTTGTACTGTCCAAAAATAGAACAGAATTCTGCCTTCAGTTGCCTGGCAGCCCTGCAAGTATCTCAAACAGGTGGTAAGAGACAATTAGATGGAATATTCCAGAAGTTGCTGATGACTTGCTTGATGGGTGTTGCTAGCTTGCTTACATCAGAATGTGTGTATTAACATACATTAGCAGGGCTTGAAAAATTTGATAGTGTCTCATTGAAGCCCCCTATGAGATAGCCAATTTACATGACAGGTCCTCTTTAGGGAGACATCAGGGGTCTCCGAGACCCCTAATGTCACCTAGGGACCTCCAGAGAAGCTGACAAAGCAGAGATCGGCTTCATCAGCTTCTCTAGCTGGAGAGTGACACTGAATGCAGGAAGTGATGCAATATACATCACTTCCTGCATTCGGGGACTGAGAGGAGATCAAAGGGAGTTCGTGTACTGAACTCCCTTTGATCTCCTGTCACAGAGCCGGTGCCGGCCGCATCGGGTACAGCGGATCTCGGGACCGGCAACGGCAGGGACAGCTTCTGATACAAGCGATCGAGCGTCTCTCGAGATGCTCGATCGCTTGACTGTAAAGCTCCCGGCCTGCCGTGTAATTACAACGGCCGGCCCGGGAAGCTTCTCGGCGGGCTCCACTGTCTGCTCGTCGCAGACGAGTGGATTTTCGAGCCCTGTACATTAGGCTCAGTTCACAAAGCTAAGCACGAATATAAAGATCTTTTTTTGCAAAAAACAGTTATTTCAGCTTGTCCAAAAAGATTTAACAATTGCAATAACTTGGCTAAAATATCTTTATCATTTGTGTACTGAGCCTAATGCACTGATGTGTTTTGGATGCCTTTTGAGTTTTTAGAAGTGTCCATTCCAAATGACTTGAGTAAAAAAAGGTTAGCGTACCCAAAAGCCAGCTACATGTCTTTGTTTTGCAACACACATCAGTGTGAACAGGCTGTATCAGTAACAGTGTTTTTTTTTATCTTCATGCATGTGCTTGTATTGAAAAATTCAGCATTGCATTAGAAAAAAAATCTGGTATGAATGAGCCACTAAAGAGAAACTACAGCTAACATGTTTTGATATTCTTCTTCACTTACCTATATACGTAACATTATATTTCTTTTGTTTCCTTTTTTGCTTCTGTAGCTATAGTTTTCTATGATACTCCTATTTTGTGGGTGGAGCTAAACCTTGTATTTTCCTGAGTGTACTACTCCATGCCTGAATCTAATGTAAACAGCACTGTGCATGATTGAAAGCAATAATCAATGTGATTTAGGGCCAGTTCATCATAGCGTTGTGTTAATCACACAAAATACAGTGCGATTAACACACAAGCAATAGCACAGCACATCTAGCGTGTGTTACCATGCACTAGGTGCATTGCATTGCTTTATTTGAATGGCACCCCAACACCCTTCGCAGCAGCCGTGCAATGCAGCGCTGCAGTTAAAAAGGTAGTGCAAAGTAGTGGAAAAAAAGTAGCAGGGGGAATAAACAACAGCAGATATGTCTGAGATGAAAAGATGAGCATGTGCTTAAAAATATTTTGGGGTCAGCCTGTGGGTTAAATTAAAGAAATATTACATATTCCTCCATCCGTGCTAAACACTGGATGGACAAATCTCATGCTGTGTCCTTTGTAGACAGCTACGAGTGTGCCGCTGTCAGAATACCCAAATAGTGGTGGCAACTTATTGGCTGCCATCACTGTTCACCCCAAGATTTTCCATCCAGCTTCTTTAATTTTCTGATCAAAGGGTGCTAAATGGAAAGGTGCCAAAAGGAGCACCCACTGTGCGTATTCAGACATTGTATGGCCCGCTTTAATTATGTGTTATAGTCCCACAATCCACATTGCTTATCAGATCAATGAATCTCAGCATTGTGTTCCTTCCCATTTACATCTCTCTCTCTTTGATAGATGCTTCTTCTCATGAACAACATGACTCTGATTATTCCTTCGTGGGTCACATAGAGATATGCAAAGAGGCTTCTCTTCAAGAGCTTAAACTGCAGGTTTGTGTATAAGACCACTACTTGGGTTCTTTTGTGTGTTTTTACATTATGCTGCATTGGATTTCCCACACTTATTGTTTCCTTATGCTTATGGAGTATAAATTGTGTGTAATCATGGCAATGTACTTGCCTTTTGTTCTCTGCATGCAGGTTATGACGCTACCGCTTTTTGATGCCCTTGGAATTCCTTCTCCTGATTTCCTCCGTATATGGACCTTAGAAAATAAACGGTTGGCAAAAGTATTGCGCTTAAACCACTTGCGAATCAGGTGCTGCTTGGTTATCGCTTAATTTATACTGAATCTTGTCACCATATATAAACAAATGTGCATATGCTTGTATTTGGCTTACCCATTTATATTGCTACATATATATTATAATCAGTATACACAAGTAAACAAAAAAATGTAAAATGTCCAAGCAGGAGTATTTTTCTGCCAGAGGCAAGCATGTTGTATTGCTGTGTATATTCGATTTAGTTTAAGAATGTTTCAGTATAGTAAAAGGTGCATGCCAGTTGGTATGCTTTTAATAAATGCTAAAGATTGCAATTGTGAGCCTAAGAGCCTTTTTAAAGATGTACTTCAATCAGGCACACAAGCTACCTAGAACAATGTATTCTGCTGTGTAAAATTATCTGGCTGTTCGCATAGTGTTCTGGAAGTACTTTACAGTACTGAACTAAAGTTTAAGGTTTTCATTTGAACCAGGCACCCCCAGTGCTGTAAGGCAGAAGCGCTAACCACTACGACACTGGGCTGTGTATTCTGTGATTTAAGCTGTAGGCTTAAGTCTCAGGAGAAATTTGGTCTGTTAGGAGCTGTAAGATTCCATGGAGGTTATTGCATCTCCTATCACAGCTTAGTGCTGAAAACAGACTCTCTGGGCTATAGAATGTGGGTAAACTTCTTGTTTGGCAGTTACACAAATGTCTGTTATAAGCACCTAGCTAATGAAGGGAATAAGCCTTCCAGCCCAGCCTTAATCAACCTTTCGGCTCGAAGAGGATAAAAGTTAATGACAGGAGAGTCAACAATAAAATCAGATCAAGTTTCTGTGTCCATATTCAGTTGCTGTACATGGACACAGAAACTTGCGTTTCTTGTTAGCTTTCCTCTTTCTACCCTCATGGAAATGGCTGCCTCTGTGTTTTTCAAGCAATCTGTGTATATTACAACCTCACCGCCCCCCCCTCCCCTCATCCCCCCAGACAGGGTATTGTGTGCAAAGGCAGAGCTGGTGTTTACTGATCATGTTACACAGAATCACAGGGAGAGGGGCACCTGTATACAGCCTGCTTTACAATCTGACCCCAGTGTCACACTGAGTTTCCTGTGGAGAAAATTTTGAATTTGTTGGCTTCAGGCCTAAGAAAAAAAAAAAGTAATAAATTAAAAAAGGCTGCTATGTGAGTCATGAAAATGTGCACACATATACATCATCACTGCACCTCTTTGTTACCACAATAAACCTTTGTTACCACAATAAATGCTAATCACTTACAAAGGTGGAAATGAACTTTAAATTGTTAAAAATGCCCAATGTTTATCATTATTATAGTGGAAATGGTCTCTGAATAGCTTTAGCAGTCCACTGTATGATTCTAGAATTTAAAGCCTTTTTTCTCTGGCTAGTGACTACAAATTGGGAATCAGGACAACACTGTGTGTGGAGCCTCTGCAGGCAGAGGAGCGTCTAGGGTGAGTCTTGTGTGTATGTAACGGGAATATCTTATTTTCCTTCTTTCCAGTGCTTCTTTCAAGTGCTTTATTTAGAACGAGCACTGAGGTTATTTAATTAAACAGTCTGTAGCCATTTTGTAATTTTTAAGTTATTCAAAATTAGCTTTCCTTCTCAATCTGAAGCCACTATTTATTTTTTAAAACTGTTACAAAATTTAGTACGGGTACTCTCCCCTATTTGGCTCATTCATTTTTTCTGATATCTGCACTAAGATACAAGTCACATTTTAGGCATCCTATGCAGTAGAAATTTAATTTTTGGTGAAATAATCCCTAAGGATTACCTGTTTCTGAAGGGATGTATAGACTACAACTTTCCCCATTAGAACAGTAAACGTGCACCAGGTGGTTATAACAAACACAGACCCTCCCTTTCAGAAATCTGTCTAGAAAGGACATGGTGAAACAAACTATTTCTTCAGAACAGCAAAAGGTAGGAATCTGCAGCAAGGTTTGTCAAAAACCTTGCAAGGTACATTGATATCCCCAGGGGGGTTGTTTTTTTTTTCTCAACAAAAGTGGAGTTACACTTTTTTAGTCTTGTTAAGAAAGTTAAAAAAAACCAAAACCTCTATTTCTTTACATGTCACAATATCGGCTCATTTCAATCGTTATGTAAGGTTAATAAGAGAACTGCTAGAAGATAAATGACAAATACAATTTGGCACTAATCCACTCCACCAGAAAATAGTTATTCAGCGCTACTTTCCCTTTTTTTACAATTTATCTATGTTAAGGCAATCTCAACAGGGCTGTCCGGGCTCAGCTGCACTGGGAATGACACCCGTATAATCAACCACTATTGGCAGGATCTAACTGCAGATCTAACTGGGTTTCAGGGTGGGCTGTGTGGGCTCTCAGATGGACTGTGCAGGCTCTCTGGTGGGCTGTGTGGTGTCTCACTAGGGCTGTCCGTGGTCTTAGGAGGGCTGTGCGGCATCTCACCAGGGGTCCGGCGGCAGGGATTCGCAGGAAGGAGGAGTAGATGTACAGCGCCGTGAGGTCCCCAGCAAGCGTAAGACCTTACGGCAGCTGCTAGTGTTTAAAAATTTTGAGCAGCGGTATCAGCGTTTTCGTATCGGAGCATTTTTACGAGTATTCGTGAAATTGCCCAGTATCTGTACCGGTTTCAATATTGGTGCATCCCTAGTAGGAATTAAAGGTGCACAAAATAACCTATATGAAACACTTGTTCACATAGCTATTATGTTTCTCATATACAGTACCTGTAACTGTGGCTAATATGCACCGAATACATTTACAGCAGTCTACTTGTATCTATGGAATGCACTGACAGATGTTAAGATTGAATGGTGCCCTATTTTTGAATAATGTATGATTTTGTTTCAGTATAACTTCCTTTATGTTTCGTTAGCCCCCAGGATCTGCTCCTAAGAGTCCAGCTTTCTGTGCCAGGAGAATATCGCTATTTCCCCCCATTGGACATTGCATGGAATATCTCTCATGGATGTACAGCCTCGTCTCTTCGTCAGAAAATCGCCACCCACTGTTCACTACCAACAGACAAAGTGGAGATTGCAAAATACTTTCCAGAGAAACACGAATGGCTCCCAATTTCCAGCTGGGTGAGGTTTTCACATATCATTTAGTACTTTAAACTGATGTATACATTAACAACGAAAAGTATGGGGGCGTGGTTTGCGCATGGCGGCGAGTAGACGTGCCTAGCCAGAGCTCCGTCTCTCACCCCGAGCAATCTTGCCGTTACCCATCTTCTCGAAGTACGCCTCGATCAGCCATCTCATCCCTAAAGCATGGGGAGGAAACAGAAGTACCGCCGGTCCGCTGCGACCCAGAAAACCGGCACCATCACGCGCCTTTGGACGCCGGAAGCCTTCACCCGGCCGCCGCGGCGAGGCGTGCGCCTGAAGGCCCAGGATTATTATTAAGTCTTGAGCTTACACCGCTTGTCTTGCTGTAAACCACCACTGTCTTTGTATTGTTTATGCTTTGGAAAAAAATCACAATAAACATTTAATAAGTTAATTAACAACGAAAAGTATAATGTTTCACAATGTGTCTATATAAATGTATTCTTAGAATTCAGGCATATTGGGAATCTTATGAGTAAGAGTAACATGTCCCACTAAAAAGTATCCACAAACCAGAATACACAGATTAGAACTGATATTGTTTATCTGAAATTGTTCATTATTGTTTCACATTAGACTCAACATGTTTCCAAAAAGAAGAAGAAAAAGAAAGCCGAGAGCCTGCAGGGGGCCCCATATTGTTTGAAGGATGGAGATATCATTGGTGTAAAAGTGAGTAATGTCTGGAATGGGGAAGGTAGTGCTCGTAAAACAAGTTTTATTTTTGTTTGTTTTTTACTCTAGAAATGATAGAAGTTTCCTGTTGTCTTTTCAATAGGTTTGTTTAAATGGTGCCACCCATTAATTCAATATTTTTGTCAATTTGATTGAAATTCTAGTTACAACCTATTGCTGTTACATTATGTTTCTAAAAGTTTAATTTTGGTTGATTTTTTTTTTTTATTATATAAAATTCATTTCAGTACAGCGCTGCATGACGGAATAAATGTCAAAGTACCGCAGCGCTGAATACTGAAAAATGGCCTGGATGGGAAGGGGGTTTAACACCGCGGATGTCAACTGGTTAAAGCAAAATAAAGACCAGATAATACCACACATGCAGCCCCATGACAAACAATCTAAACATTTTTCAGTCTGTCATATCACTTCGTTCTTGTATTAACCTGAACAGTAAAATAGGGAATAGATATTTAAAACCATAAATAGATTAAAAGCAAGTATAAAAAAGAAAATCACAGAGCAGTTTCTTTGTTTGTAGATACAATTGGATTATTGTGTGTGGGCACCAGTAGACATGATTTTTATGTGGGATATCGATTATATGTTTAGATAGGAGTGAGATTAGGGGCTTAAATGGGGAAACAAATCTAATGGGTTTAGAAGTATAGAATTCTTCTTCTTCATGTGTACCTGGGGTTTCTGAGCACAGTTGGCTTGTCCAACCTGCTTGGAAGATTTATTGGCACCCTTAATACATCTATAGAGTTTCACAGCATTATGTTTAAAGTTTAGATTGAGATAGAAATTACAGGCCCATTCTAACTAGTGCATTGCTAACGTGCATAGGTAACATGCGTTTGTGCGATTTGGAGCATTCATTCTCAATGCCATGTCAACACGTTGTTCTAACACACATGCATTGCAGTGCACTACAATGCGTGGTAATGCACTACCTTGGGCTGTGCTGGAGAAGATAGTGCATGCCTGATTTTTAGTTCCTTGTGAGGCATTCAAATGAATTGGCTGCCTCAACACAGCACATGTACTCTAAAAGCAGCACAGTGGACCCGGGTGGTGTGAATGTGCTCTAAAGGTTAACTTGGGAAGTTGAACTGAGCGTTTAAAGCAGGGGTAGGCAAACTCTGGCCCTCCAGCTGTGTTGAATCTACAAATCCCATTAAGCATTGCAAGATGCTAACAGCCACAGGCATGATTCCCAGAGGCAGATGCATGATGGGATTTTTAGTTTCACCACAGCTGGGGGGGCCAGAGTTCTGTCTTTCCATGGTTTAGAGTAACTACATGTCCCGGGCGTCGGGCGATACGAATTCCACACCCCTGCGCTGTGCGGGCCACATTACAAGGTCCGGCGGGCCGGATTCGGCCCGCGGGCCTTGTGTTTGCCACCCCTGGTTTAGAGGGTAGAAGTGAGGAGCATGTTTGATAAGTCTATATCTATGTAGAATTATGGAAATCTTTGCCTACATTCACACATCTGAGTCCTTTTGCAGTGATGTAGGGCATTTTAGCCACATCCTATATACATGTTTTAAGGTTGGAAAGTGTAATTCTACTTTTGCAGACAAATTGGAGAAAACCCCACTATATGTTATGTGAATCTATTCACGCAGCATACCTAAAAAACATTTTTTTTAAACTATATCTTATATGCTTAAATAAAATAAACTGTATCTTACCTTTTTAGATGTATCTGTGTAGCAGATCTTTGGAGCTTCTCTGTACAATTTCAAAGTGACAGGAAACTCTGAATGTCCCCATAGAAAAGACTAGGGACACTGAGCTTCCTCTCATTGACATACAATGCTTTTAGATCTTTAACCTTCCTTGGAACAGACAGTACTCAAATCTAGTTTACAACTGATAATGAGATCTGCCAGAACAGTGTAGATGGGGATAGTTAGGTTAAACATTACTTCCCCACCCAGAGGAAAATTCAGTTTAGGGAAAAGCAGGAAAGAGCAAGTAATATATAAGCAGCATTTTTTAATTTGTATTGAAGTTATGCTATGTAAATGGAAACCTGTAACAGCTATAAAAAAAAGTTGTTATCCAAATTTGGCTGTAAAGGTGGAAGTACACTTTCAAGTGTATCTAAAGCAAAACATTATTTTTGTTTTTTTTTCCGTTTTGGTGATAAGGGGTTATAACAACTATTTGTGGGCCCATTATGGAGAATGACCCTCTCTTTTTGATCTGTTAATCACTGTCACTGAAAGTGAGGGAAAAGAATACATTTTGAGTTGTCACACGAGCAAAAGGAAAATCTTCCCATGCGAACACATGTTAAAATGATTAAGAGGGCATCTACTTCACTTTGGAAAGATTACCTTTGATTTCCTGTTGTGACTATAGGAAATCTTTTTAATGGAACACAGATGCCAAACATAAACTGCACAGGTTTTTAACATTTCCTGATTCATTCTTCATTCCCGATTGCTTTGTGATGTACTTTATTGTGCTTAGAGGTTAGGATTATAAATTGAAAAGTGGAAAGGAAGCAGTGACATGTTTTTTATATAAAAAAATTAACTCCACTTTATTTTTCAGAACCTTCTGCTGGATGACAAGATAGACTTTAGCTCAGAGAATGATTATATAGCAAAGGAAAAACAAAGACAATGTGCAGAAAGCAAGAAAAATAGGTAATGAATTAAAACGGTATAGTATATACAGCTATGCAAAAATAACATTCCCCATTGTACATTAATTATTAAAATTGTGATATCTGTTCAATACAATCGATACCGTCTTGTTTTATGTATAAACAATGTTTTGCGCAACGATTTAGCTCTACGCAACTAAGGATTCATCAAAAAGCTAGTCAAACAAATGAAATATAATCCTAAAAGTTCTAAGAAAAACCAAAAATAAACACCTATCAGAATAAAACTGCTAACTACATTTTAGAAATCACTTAATCTACAGGTGAATCCATGAAAACAATAAAATACTAAATCAATAAGTTAGTCCATAAGTAAGGTTGGTATGGATGGAGCTCCCTCGTGTCCACACCCCCAGCACAGCTGACACTCGTCGCTGGGCAGCGTATTTTGAATGGCTGCTCGGCGTGAGAACTGACAGTGCTGCTCTATGAGGAGGCTGTGGAGCTCCTCACCTAGCACAGTAGAAGACAAGCGGTCACCCACTAAACATGGGATTGCGACCCACCAGTGGGGAACCACGGATGTAGAATATAGGACTAGCATAAGCGGTTAACTGGTTAAACATATTTAGCAGAAAAAAGTGCATGTAGATAAAAAGGAATATCCATACACTGACTGTACACTTGTATGTTACTATTTACTACTCCAGTGTGCTCTGCTGCACACTGTACATGGATTTTGTTTTTGGTTCCATACCCATTATGCAGCAGTGCCTTTACAAAGCAACTGCACACCATGCTCAGCTCAGCAGTCAGATGAGGTAATGCACAGATTTCCCAGCAGTCTTCATCTGGCACAGACATACAACTATCTGGCCTATTTGATAGTAATCTGCCGCATTTGGGCGCATTAATATTTGCTGCACTGTTGAGGACCTGCTTTTGTGTTCAGACGAATGGTGAAATGTTTTTTCAGACCGGGAGTTCAGTTTTAAAGAAATTGTAAAACATGACATGTTCAGCAGTTGAGTTGCGCAGCAGTTTTCTTAGAGCCTCTGGCCAACGTACATTTCTAAACATAAAGGATGGTATTTTATTCAAACTGTTATATGTAACTACAATTTCTGTTTCTTACAGTGCACCATCTAATTGCAATCCAAAGGTTCGCCCCAGTGGACGCAAACCAGAGACTTCTCTATCCATTCGAGTGGGAGTATTCAGATAGCACAGACTTGCTCCCATGATTGGAGCATGAAATCTAGAATCTATTTCTCCTTTAACTCAGGAATGAACATCCAGTATACTGTCACTAGTAGGCAGAGCAATGTTGTAATATAGGTCTATAGTTTCCTGGAGGTCAGAAGCAGGTACTGCACTTACTGCTGCAGGTGTATGGGTGCTTGTAGCTGACCTCGGCTGCAGAACAGATGGTTCTGTGTATGGAGGTGCCTTCTCTTTTCTCATTCTCTGCTGTACATCACCTGGAATTGATTTCCTTAAATTGCTGCTCTGAGGAAGAAGGAAAGCATATAGCTGTATTTCCTGCAATCAGGTTTAAAATCATTGACACTGACAATTTCTTTTTTATTATTTATAAGTTACCTGTCAGTTCTTTTTGGTTCATTTTTTTCTTTAGCATAACATTCCCATGCTATGGGGAGTCATCAGCTGTCAAGGAATAAAGGGATAATCATGTACAATTCTATCATCTCTTAAAGGTTCAGTCAGGCATATTTTTCATGTGTTGAGGTTGGTAGTTTCAGATTGCTGCTTCAGATGATCCTTTTCCACTTACTGCACTTGTATGTGGTAATGCGCAAACTTGAAACACATTACTGCATGCGTTTAAGCATCATTTTCTATGTCTTAAACATGCATTAATGTGTCGTTTTTTGCATTTTACATGTGTGTTTCTTTGCTCATGTATTATGAAAAAGTGGGACAGACATTCGGAATAGGGTTTCCATGCAATACACACTCAACTAATAGATTCATGGGAATGTGTGTATTTGTTTCATTTTAATAAACCAGATTTAAACCTGACTCCATCCAAAAATGTTTTTGCCTTGGGAAGAGTTGGTAAGGGTTAGACCCTCTTTCAGGTTTTATTTGTAGTCTGTTGGATAAATATCGGCTCACTTCATGTCAGGACAGTAATTGATGGAAAATCACTCCAATGGGGGTGCAGAGTACAACAAAGCACTTTCTTTAGTAAAATGGAGATGAGTTAGAACCTGTTTCAGTTCATGATACAAAAGACGCACATTAATGTAGCTCAGTATTCAATAATGTTTTCTGTAATACGACCAGTGTAAGTACCTGAATTTGACTTGACTGTCACCCTTTTGGAAACCCCTATACAGCAGCACTTGGACTGGGGGAAGGGCAAAACTGGGAGCCGATCATGTTTATTGCATGCTAATGGTCTGACAAGGAACACCATGATAGACAAAGAGGATAGAGTGAGCAGAGAGATGGTCTGATAGGTATGCTGCTGATCTTTCACTGTCCAGTTAGCAGGCTAGGGTCAGGTACAGTCTGAGACTGTAACAAAGAGAGTGCTGTTATCCACCTACTCTTGCTGTGTGATATTATCACTGTGCTCTTGTCTCCTGTAAGCATGTTTACTTTGTTAGATTGACAGTACTTTGCAAAGCAAAAAGTGAGAGCTCTGATTGGCTCAGAATACTGCCCCCTCCTCTCCTAATCAGAGTATTACTGAAAACTAAGAAATGTATTCACTAAAGAGCAGAAGGATCCAGCCGTAGCTTCGGGTTATCCTTCAGCTCACTTCGGCCGCCAGAGCCCTTCGGTTCAGTCGAACGCATATGCTTTGGTCACAGCCGAAGCAGGGAGAACGGTCTGCCGCAGCAACGTGTTCACTTCGGCTCAGCCAAACATGCTGAGGATGTCCGTGTTCACTTCGGCTCAGCCAAACATGCTGAGGATGTTCGGCTGAACCTAAGGGAGCCAAAGCCAGCCAATGTACGGCTGAAGTGAATAGCCAAACAAGATTTGGCTCGGTTATTCGCTTGGCTGGCTTCAGAATAACCCCCTCAAATTCTCACTGAATTCAGGTACTTTTACAGGCTGTATTAAATGAAACCTTTTATTTTCAATAATGTTTTTTCGTTTTCAAGATATAGAATACAAAATCTGCATCATAGTTATCAGGATAAATGAAACCTTTTATAAGAGGAACCTGGAAACTGCCATTGCTGTTGTTTTTTTTTTTTTTTTTCATTCAGCAAATGCTAGTTGCCTGGCTGTCATGCTGGCCATGCACACAGAATAAGTATGTAGGTCATAAGTTCTGAATTTATTTTGGCTTTCCAGAAGCTCAGTATAGTATCCAGACAAACCACATTTGCAGAAGAGGTCTGTAGTAGTAGCCTCCATATTTCTCCCAGGAAAGGTTTCCTTTAAAGAAATGAGCATTGTAAGTTGAAGAAATTGTAGTTCATTGATCTCTTTGTGGAGTTTGGCTTTAAAGAGCCAGTCCATCCAGAAGTGATAGTTCAGTCTTTGTAAGGTGCTGGGTAGTCAGGGTGCACTGCGCAAATTTCAGCTGCTTCTTGAGGAAATTTGCACAGTCTGTGTCACTGTCGGCACCCTTTTGGCTGGCATCCCTCCATCAGCTGATCGAAGGAGGCAGCTGGATAATCTTGGTACAACCAGAGCTGGTAGACAATGAGCTGCTGGCTCTGGTCGGGTATTCTGACAGTGGGATTCCTCGATCGACACACTCGTAGCATTGATGGAGGAATCTGCTCTATTTTTTGTCCTTCAGCCCGTAGGTTGAACAAAAACAATAGCAGTGTATAGCCAGCCTTCATCCCTCTAGCGGCTTCTTTTATCCTTTGTGTACTCTATTGGTGGGGTATCTTGAGGTCCTGGGTCTACAAAGCTTCTGTGGCCGCTGGATGTTTTTATATTTACTTTATACTATCATTAATGCAGCAAGAGGTGCTGGCTAACACTAAGATGGACAAAAACACCCATGTAGACCCAGCAATTTTATATTATAGTAAGTAGCTCTCTCGGCTTGAGCATTCAAGACCTATAAGAAGCTGGGGATTGTCTCAAACCCACACTGAACCTTTAGCTAAAATATTAGTCTTGGGTGAACTGTTCTTATAACTAGATTTACACTTCAATATAAAGTGGCTGAGCTCGCTCATTAATCTGCGAGAGATGCACTTTTGTTATTGCTCCTTTGTTCTGAAACATAGCACGGAATCATACAGTGTTAACAAAGCAGAAAGACCTGTTTTTATATTGGACTTTACTTGGCTGTGCCTTCAACTTTTTCCTTCCATGTGTCCCCTTTGCCTGCTGCAAAATATTACCAGCTTGTCCAGTGCTTATAACATTATGTGATCATGTACAAACACTGCTCCGATCCCACCCGACCTGTAGGCTGGACACTCTTGTACTTACAGCACTTCAGAGTACTATGAAAAGAGAGTCTGTCATTTGCACACATTTTTTTTTCTTCTATATTTAATCTGTGATTGACTTTTAGAAAAACAAGTCTGTCATTTTATTGTTTATTTTTGACTGTAAACTTTTAATTTTGTCTTTTGGTGCTGCAATGTCCACATTAGAGGTCTGTTTGCACATACATGTATGTATTGTGTTTAACATTATTAAAGAAAACTGACCGCAAACTGGATGAGAGTCCAATCATTTTAAGATCACCTAGAAGCTTAAGACGCATTTAAGATTTGCCACAACAGAATAAGGGGGAAGGGCAACATGTATGACAAGTTGTTAAAAATGATTTTACAACTTTTATGGTTACCATTTCCTTCTGGAAGTGTTGAAGGGTGTGTGTTCCTGAGTGCATATATTGTTTACAGTAGGCACTATGCACACCATCCTGTTCTGTTCAGCTGTATAGGAAATATGCCTGCTCTATGCATCTTTAGATTGTTGTTCTGCATTTTATCATTCAAGTCACTTGGGGTTCTTCACAACATGTTTAAAACTTATCTTAAATGATCATATGATAAAAGCAAAGTCCATATTTTAAAAAAAATTATAAAATAAAATAAATGCACACTTCATAAAAGAAAAAATGTGAATGTATTATTATTTTTTTGCAACAGTGAGTCGTGGGTGCAATGCTCTGGCTCCTGCAGACTATTTCAGCAGTCCCTGCCCTGTACCGAGTTAGACATTCAGTAAAGGGAGGGAGGAAGTGTCAGTGGACTACAAGTGCAGCACATTTACCGCACCGCACTTGTATTGCACTGAGAACTACAAGTCACACTGCATCAGTGGCTGAGGGGGATCTATGAATGGAATACACGGCTGTATGGGCCATGATTCATTTAGGTGGGGGGTGGAGATGTCACCATGTTTCACATTACACCCTAAAGCTAGATTTAACTTGAAACCTGATGGAAAAGCTAAACTTAAGGTGGTCATATATTGTACGATTTTTTTATCAAAACTTTTCGTTTCTGGCACGAACCCTCGTTCCATTATACCCAGACTTCCCCATCAAGCATAGCCAAATGTAGATCTTGGAAATCGTTCGTTAGCCATACTAACCGACGGATTTTTGATGTGCGGAAATTTCCTTTTGTGCATGTGCTGTGTTCTTGGTGTGATTTATGACAAACAAAAACCCCACTGATTTGCCGATTTTTTTTGTTTTTATTTGGTGAGAGATACATTTTCCAACCTGATCAATCGAAAAATTTAGATCACAATATCAGAAACGAAAAATCGGAGATGTGCTATTAACTGTTCGATTTGCATTCGAAAGACCGTTTGTGTACGATTTCCTAACGAAAATCGTTTGTATGGCCACCTTTAGTCTTTAGCACAATATATGCATCTGGCACAAACAAGCTTTTACACCATTTGTTAGCTTAATAGTTTAATTTAATCCCAGGTTCCACAGCTACTTTTACTTATCTCCCCTTTACTTCCTCTCTGCTCATTTCACCTGAGGAATCAAAGTGACATACCATGTACTTCCCAGTATGGAGGGCCATGTGACTCACTTCTCGTCCATGTAACACCACTGGTGTTTAGCGGTTGGCCCCTCAGGAGCCCAGGACTGTCACATGTGTGCCAGGAAAGGTTTCTCAGCCCTGTGTAAGTCTCATTGGAGCTAACACAGGGCTTCTTCATTCCGCTGACAGTGCCAGGGGAGTGAAGGAAGGCAAATATAAGCAGCCATAGGGGCCAGCATTTGAGTGAAACTGTTGCAGTGCCTTGAATGGGCAAATCACAAACACTTTCAGAAAAAGATCTTCAATTGTTTGTCTACTTCCTTTCTTTGTAATAAGCAAACTCAGTACCTGACACCCCCACAGTCTGTTGGCGTGTCGTCGTCCCCCCCCCCCCCCCCCTTTCTATAACTGTT